CTCTCCCGCCCATGTAGCTTCCATGTAGCCTCTCACGGAGGTGGAGTTTGCCGACGGGAGAGCGCGTCTTCAGCAGGAGCGGCACAGGTGTGCCAGTGTAGTGCGGTCGTGTAGACTTGCCCTTAGATACTTGTACCTATTACAAAAACCAAGATTTTTCACTCAGAAAAATGTGAAACAATGAAATGAAGCTTTAAAAATGAAAATAATTATCAGCTGTAGTTACAAAAGAGGAATGAAATTGAACAGAAATAAAACACCCAGAACAACTATAAAAGAACAACTCTTCAAGCTACTTAATGGCTGTGCATCTGTTCTCTTTCTGTTGGGGGAGGAGGGCTAGTGACTGTGACCCCCTCCCCCACTCCCTTGGGAGTTAAGTTCAACAGGTTTGTCTAGTCAGGTTAGCCTGTAGACTCTTCGAGGCAGGGACCATGTCTTTTTGCATATTTAATGTGCTTTGTAAACCACCATGTACACTGATGGCCTGGTATACAAATAAAGATACACATAGAATGTCTGCTCTAGAAGATTCCAACCAATCAAGATGCTCAACTTTCAATTAGTTCAACTTTTTCCCAAAAAGGTGGCATTAGCATGTATTGAAGTGGGTGGTCAAGACATTGAAGTAGGCTTGCCAACAGATAGCACCATGATACAATGAAAAAAGTTAGGCCATCACCTACATCAGGGCATTCTTGCTGTAATATTTGACAATATTTGGCCATGGTCAAATAATAGGCAGTTAATTGACATTATCTGACTGATCAATTGACTGGCTTGTCGAGCCGATACCGTGTCCAGTTCTGGTGTCAACAATTCAAGAAGGATGTTGATAAAACTGGAGACGGTTCAGAGAAGAGCCATGAGAATGATTAAGGGATTTGAAAACTTGCCTTGTAGTGATAGACTCAAGGAGCTCGACCTATTTTAACAAAGAGACGGTTCAGGGGTGACTTGATCACAGCCTATAAGTACCTACATGGGGAACAAATATTTGGTAACGGGTTCTTCAGTCTAGCAGACAAAGCTATGACAAGAGCCAATGGCTGGAAGTTGAAACTGGCCAAATTCAGACTGGAAGAAGATGTACATTATTAACTGTGAGGGTAATTAACCATTGGAACAACTTGCCCAGGGTTGTGGTGGATTCTCCCTCGATGGAGATTTTTAAACAAGACTGGATGTTTTGTTGATTTGCTCTAGTTCAGGGGTCAGCAACCTTTCAGAACTGGTGTGCCGAGTCTTCATTTATTCATTCTAATTTAAGGTTTCGCGTGCCAGTAATACATTTTAATGTTTTTAGAAGGTCTCTAAAACAGCTGTTTTGCGCGGCAAGCCTGGGAGGGAGGGGGGAGGTGGGGGAACGCGGCGCACTTGGGGGAGGAGGCGGGGCCAGGGCGGGGATTTGGGGAGGGGTCCAATAGGGGCAGGGAGGGGTGGAGTTGGGGCAAGGGTGGAGTCAGGGCGGGGCCGGGGGCGCGAGCACCCACCGGCGCAGAAAAAAGTTGGCGCCTGTGGTCCCTTCTGCCCTTGAGACCTGTCAGTTTGTCAGTCTTTGAACTCTTTGATCCATGTGGACCATGTTCATTTTGTATCATTCTAGTTTTATAATCAATAGATTTTAGATTTTGCTGCAGCCGCCTGCTCTGCATATGAACCTTCACATACTAACATGTCGCTTCCCGCCCCCACCATCCCCGGTCCCCAGAGCTGGGCCACAGCCAGGAAGAGGATCAGATCTTCACCTTCCTGCCTCAGCAGATCGAGCAGGGGCCCAGCTTGGAGCCGCTGAAGGACCAAGTGGCAGTGGAAGGCAGCCGTACCTGCCTCCAGTGTCACATTGAAGGTAACTTCCTATGAAAGCCTGCAAGGCTGCCCACCCCCTCAATGACTGAAGTCCTTGGAATGACCTTGTCCCCTGGCAGGGAGCTTGCCCTCAGGGGCAGGCTCTGCAGGGCCTAAATTGCTCTTGTGCAACAGGGGAAGCCTTGTGCACGAATGGGGGCTGCACATCTGTCAATACAATCTGTAGCCTGACAGCTGTGTGCTTTGAACTCTCACAAGCTAAGCAGCGTTGGTGCTTGGATGAGACTTTCTTGGGATACCTTGATACTCTAGGCAAGGGGGCGTTGATGCACTAGGTGATTATCTTGTACTGGATTAACACCTGGCATGGTGCTAGGCGCCGTGTTGCTGAATATGTCTGTCCCCTAGTAGAGGACACTGCAGTGCAGCACTGGTTGCAGGGTGGTTAGGGACCTGAGAAGCTGTGATGTGACACGCAACTTGGGAGACCCAGTAGGGTCAGATAAACGTCCCAAAATTCTGGGTGGCCCGGTGGACCTTTGACCCATCACTGTGGCCTTCTTCCCTGGCAGGTTTTCCCCACCCGGAGGTGACATGGCTCTGGAACGATGCCCCTATCCAGGAACATCCTCGGCTCCCCATAGACGAGGAGGAGAATGGAAGCTGCTCCCTCGCCATTGCGAGGCTCTCGGTGGAGGACACGGGGCAGTACGTGTGCAGGGCCACCAGTGCCGTAGGGGAGGCGGAATGCAGTGCCAGGCTGATGGTACAGAGAGGCAGCAACACGCAGACGCCAAATGCAGAGGAGGGCCCTGGAACTGACCAGCCGTGAGAGCCGCAGGCCATGGGCTCTCTGCCCGGCATTGGCGGCATGGCCTGCAGGAGGCGCTCTGCTTCCAGTCCGGCTCTTTCCCTCATCCGTCGTTATTTTTAACTCCATCGCTGGGCTCCGGGAGTGAACCTTGCTGCGCTCTGCTTCCCACTGTGCCGGGACGTGGCAGGCAGCCACAGAGTGGGCAAGAAGGGCCCAATCCTGCAGGCCCCAAACAGGCAAATCCCCAGTCAATCCATTTCCCAGTGCAGGGAGTCTGGCCTGTGAGGATCGAGCCCGAAGTGCCTAGACCAGCCTCTCTGCTTCCACCTCCCCTCTGCCAGGCTGGGCCCTCGTGGCCCAGCCACAGGGCAGCACAGGGCGGGAGGGTGGATTTCCCTTAACTCTGCAACCTCTCTGAGCCAGGGGCAAGGCTGGTCCCACTGCCCCACCGAACATGGGGCAAAGTACAAAGCCAAGGAGCAGGTTGCTCCCGCCCCCCCAATGGTGGTAACAAACTCAGCTGTAAATCTCATTAAATCCCAATATCCTGGCTTCAGCCAGCGTATGTAGCGTGTGGGATCACTCAAGTATCAAGTGTTTTGGTTAGAACGGCTGCAGCCTCCATGCCCACCCCTCCAGCTGGCCGAGGGCCTGACGGAACGAACACGCCTTTTGGCCCGTAGGGTACCAGCGATCACTTAGGCCTGTTTCCCTGCCCGCGGGTTCCAGCCACGCGTTCGGAGTTCAGCTTGGTGCTGAAGTCTCCAGAGATTGCTGCTTTGTTTTCTCTCTTACCTGCTTTTCAGCAGCCACCTGCCCGTCAGTAGAGACTCCAGCCACGGCGCCCCCTGTCTGACAGGGCCCAGAGGTAGCTGGGTTCTTGCAGGGTTAATGGCCTTTTTCAGAAGTGGGAGCTAAAGTGCCCACAGCACTCCAGAATTACACCGCGGGCCCTCCAGCCAGTGCGAGAGCGAAGGGTTCGCCTAGCCGACGCCCTAGGGACCGGAGCAGGGCAGACCGCGGGCTCCTGCCCAGTGCGAGAGGACGGATGGTGGTTTGTGCAGTAGTAGTGCCCAGGACTGCAGTGCTGTACAGAGCCCCTGCCTCGAGGAGCTGCTAGGCCTGACCCCGAACCCTCAGCTGAAACAGCTGGTGCTCCACCGGCACTAGCTGGGCTCCCAGCACTGTGATGCTAAATTCACCCACCAGGAGATGAGAGAGTTGACCAGGACAGCAGTGGAAAGGGCCGAGCCCTGGCGGCAGGGAGGTGCTGCGGGATCATTGTCCCCTCTCACAGCGCACGGCTCTGGCTGGGGGTCTCAGTGGGAGGCGCCCCCCTCCCTCAGCCTCCTGTGCTGAGAGGCAGATGGTGCCCTTAGGGAATGCTTGCCTCCCCCCCCCAGTCCCTTATTGCCAGCTCGGGGGGAGAGGGGCCGTTTCCCCCTCTCACTGTCTGTCCCACAAGGGTCTCCTTCCCTTTGAAGAGTAGAGCTCCCCCTCCTGGCCCTTTCTCAGCCTCCTCACATCCTTTCGGGTGCGCCTCAGGGGACGCGTCTCCCCCAGCTCTGTCTCGGGGGGGCAGATCTCTCCCTGGCTGGATCTCTCAGGCTGAGCTGCTGTTTAAAGGACAGTGCCCCCCCCCCCACACACACACTCCTCATCACAGTGAGGGGCCAGCTCCTCAGCCAGCTCTGTGGAAATCCAGGCCCGTTGGCTCCACGCCCTTTTGCCTGATTTCCCCTTCAGCTCTGAGCCAGGCCCCTGCCCTCTGCCCCTCTCCGATGCTTGTCTCAGCATGCAACAGCCTGGTCAGTGCTCAGTGCAGAAAATGCTCCCGTTACCCTAAGGCGGGGACACGCTCCGTGTGTCACATGCTTATAGGAGCCGGCAGTGCCGCTGGAATCAGCGATTATTGGCCCCCTCGTCACCCTGGCCCACATCATGTGACTAGGACCAACACGTCAAGTCCAGCTTGTTCCCAGCACCCCACCTGTCACACCATTAATAGCGGGGGAAGGGGAGTGCCTGCCTGCTGCCCACGAGATCATAACCAGCGAGCAAGGCCTGCACCAGCGATAACACTCAGAAACAGCAAGAACAATACTTCTGGGCCAGGGCTCCTTTCAAACAGCCCTTGCACCCAAGCAGCCTGGCGGTGTGTGACGCAGAGAGCTACAGGCTGTTCTATGGGATTCATTAACCACACACGCCCTGCCGCTGACCCACGCGGCAGCCCCTCGGATTTCCAGTTCAGTTTAAGGAAGAGAAGGTTTGGGGGTAACTTGATCCCAGTCTGTAAGTACCTGCATGGGGAACAGAGATTTAATAATGGGCTCTTCAGTCTAGGAGAAAAAGTATCACACGATCCGCTTGAGAAATTCAGACTGGAAATAAGATGTACATTTTTAACCGTCATTAACCACTGGGGCAGTTTCCCAAGGGTTGTGGCGGATTTGCCGTCACTGACAATTTTTAATCCAGACGGGATGTTTTGCTACCAGCTCTGCTCTAGGGGCTAGTTCGTGGCAGGTCTGGATGTTCACAGTGGTTCCTTCTGGCCTTGGGCTCTATTAACTTTACACCTCAAGGGCTTCATGGGCTGTTCACGTGACCCGTTGGTTTTGGTTTTTCTTTTGTTTAACATTTCTCAGGAATGTCTCAGTGTTTATTACAATTTTTTTTTAAAGGGTGAAAATTGATGCAAAAATTAACGTCACCGTTTGCTGGGTAAATCTCGGGGTTAATATTGGGGGATGGGAGAACAGAAAAAAAAAGAGTAACAAATAGAAAAAAGTACAAGTGCTTCTGTCCTGGCCCCCTGCTCCAGCTAGAAAGGTGGCGGCTGTGACACAGGCTCCTTGGCAGACGCTCCCCTGTTCTTTGCAAACAACTAACTCATCTCAGACTTGCCCAACTCACTACAACACATTCAGCTTGCAGGGTATTTATCCCTGAGGGGCCTCGTGTAAGATCTCAACAGAAGATGGGCGGGATCAGCAAGGAGAGCTCCCTCTTAGGTGTCAGAAAGTGCAGGGAAAAGTGAGAACTGCCAAAAGCCAAGCAGAGCTGGGCCTTGCAAAGGGAATTAAAACCAACAGTAAAATGTTCTTTAGCCATATAAATAAAAAGAAATCAAGGAAAGAAAACGTGGGGCGGCTAAGCCCCAAGGATGGGGCGGAGATTAAAGATAATCTAGATCTGGCCCAACACCTCCACAAATACTTTGCCTCAGTTTTTAATGAGGGGAATGAGGAGCTGAGGATTAGTAGGCAAGTGGCTAATGGAAATGAGGACATGGCAGTAGAAATTACCACATGGGAGGTGGAAGCCTGCCTCAAACAGCTTCATGAGACTCACTTTGGGGGGGCCCAGATAATCTCCACCCAAAAATATTAACGGACCTGGCACATGAAATTGCAAGCTCAACAGCAAGGGATTTTTAATGAATCTGTAAACTTGGGGGTCGTACCCTATGACTGGAGAATTGCTAACATAGTTCCTATTTTTAAGAAAGGGAAATAAAAAAAAGTGATCCAGGAGATTACAAGCTTGTTAGTTTGACCTGAATTGTACGCAAGGTCTTGGAACAAATTTTGAAAGAGAAAGTTGTTAAGGCCATAGAGGTAAACGGTAATTGGGATAAAATACAACATGGTAGATCGTGCCAGACCAACCAGCTCTACTTCTTTGAGATGATAACTGATTTTTTAGACAAAGGAAATGCAGTAGATCTAATCTACCTTCATTTCAATAAGGCATTTGATACAGTTCCACAGGGGTAATTATTAATTAAATTGGAGACGATGGGGATTAATATGAGAATTGAAAGGTGGATAAGGAACTGATTAAAGGGGAGACTACAACGGGTCATACTGACAGGTGAACTGTCAGGCTGGAGGGAGGTTACTAGTGGAGTTCCTCAGGAATCAGTCTTGGGACCAACCTTATTTAATATTTTTATTACTGACCTTGGCACAAAAAGCGGGAGTGTGCTAATAAAATTTACAAATGACACAAAGTTGAGAGGTACGGGCCAATATGGAGGCAGACCAGAATGTCATACAAGAAGATTTGGATGAAAACTGGAGTAATAGAAATGGGATGATATTTAATTGTGCAAAGTGCAAGGTCCTGCATTTAGGGACTAACAACAAGAATTTTTGCTATAAACTGGGGACGTATCAGTTGGAAGCAACAGTGGAGGAGAAAGACCTGGGTGCACGGACTGATCGCAGGATGACTATGAGCCGTCAGTGTGATGCCGCTGTGAAAAAGACTAATGCAGTCCGAGGATGCATCAGGTGAGGTATTCCCAGTAGACAGATGGAAGTGTTAGTACCTTTATACAAGGCAACGGTGAGACCTCAGCTGGAGTATTAGGTGCAGTTCTGGTCTCACATGTTTAAGAAAGATAAATTCAACCTGGAACAGGTGCAGAGAAGAGCTACTAGGATGATCCGAGGAATGGAAAACCTACCTTATGAGAGGAGACTCAAAGCGCTGGGCTTGGTTAGCCTAACCAATAGAAGGCTGAGGGGAGATCTGATCGCTCTCTATAAATACATCAGAGGGACAAATATCAGGAAGGGAGAGGAGTTAAGTTAAGGGCCAATGTGGACACAAGAACAAATGGCTATAAACTGCTCATCAGGAAGCTTAGGTTTGAAACTAGGTGAAGGTTTCTACCCATCAGAGGAGTGAAGTTCTGGAGCAGCCTCCCACGGGGAGCAGTGGGGGCAAAAACCCTAACTGGCTTCAAGACTGAGCTTGATAGGTTTATGGAGGGGATGGGATGATGAGACTGCCGACAATAGCCTGTGGCCCATTGGCGACTGCCAGTAGCAAATATCTCCACCAGCCAGTGATGGCACACTAGATGGGGAGGGCTCTGAGTTACTACAGAGAATTCTTTCCCAGGTGTCTGGCTGCTGGGTCTTGCCCACATGCTCAGGGTCTAACTGATCACCATATGTGGGGCGGGAAGGAATTTCCCTGCAGGTCAGATTGGCAGAGACCCTAGGGGGGTTTCACCTTCCTCTGCAGCATGAGGCACTTGTAGCTTTAAACGAGTGTAAATGGTGGATTCTATGTAACATGAAATATTTAAACCATGATTTGAGGACTTCAGTAACTCAGCCAGAGGCCAGGGGTCTATTACAGGAGTGGGTGGGTGAGGTTCTGTGGCCTGTGATGTGCAGGAGGTCAGACTAGATGATCACGATGGTCCCTTCTGGCCTTAAAGTCTATGAGATAGAAAGTTAGTAACATGTCAAGATTCATGACTAAGGATAAGATTTTGTCACAGAGGCCATGGAAGGCACGGATTCTGTGACTTTCAGAGACCTCTGTGACGTTGTCCCTTCAGCCCCATGCATGGGACAGCGGGACGGAGCTGTCAGCCAGCGAGGGCCTCGGAGCTCCGAGCTGCCATGGGCGGCAGGCACCCTGGAGCTCTGTGCTTCTGTGGGTGGCAGGGGCGGGGCCCCAGATCACTGAGCTGCTGGGGCAGTGGTGAGTGCCGTCAGTTGGCGCCATCAACTGACATGGCGGTGGGTGCTGGAGCCC